CTCCAATTCTTCCAAATAACTTCTACTTCCTGAAACAAGAGCGCCAGAGCTTTTTTTTTTTTATTTGTATACCACAGAGATCGACTGACAGGCATTCAAAGGGGTTCAATGGAGGCACTCGACCTCTTTGGTGTCTTGAAGAGGTTTCGCTTCTCATCTGAAGAGCTTTGTAAATTCTGACTGGAGTAAGGAAGGGCCAGCTTATAAAGCCTACTGTTGCCTTACACTGTTGTTTGTTGTTTTTTAACTTAAATTTACACAAATAATAATTTTAAATAAATAAAAAGTGAAAGCATCAATGGACACCCAGCGAGACTTTGAAACATTTATCCAAAAACCAAGTCTACATGCATCTCTCCATAACAGATTTATGTTTGAATATTTCTCCAAACCTTCTCCCCATTCAGATATATTAAAACTCTAATTTTACTGCTCACCCTTTAAAATTTTGATCATACCTTACCCCTGAGGAGTTGTTATAACATATACTTTTATGTGTACTTTTACGTGCGTGTAACACCACGGCTCTGTCCGTTTGTAGGTGGAGGAAGCTCTAAGTGAGGTGGACTTTCAGCTGAAGTTGGATCTTCACTTTACTGACAATGAGCAGCAGTAAGTACAGTAAAGTTCAACGTTTTTTGTTTCCAACATGGTGAAAATATTCACCATGTTGGATCATTTTAAATTGAAACATGGCTAAAATGGATGTAATTTCCTGTGACCTGTCAGGTTGGCTGACATAGCGACAGTTCCCTTGATCAGCAGTCGGACACTGAGCCTCCACTTCCATCCCCGAAGAGGTCTCCACCACCATGTCCCGCTCATGTTTGACTATTTCCACTTGTCCGTCATTTCTGCCCATACACGCATCACTGGTTGCTTTACACCAGCCCCTGATCAGGTAGAGCACGTCACATGAAACAGATCCTGAATTTCTTGAATGCACAGATGTGATATTTTGATCCTAAATAACTTTGAGACTTTGGACTTAACTGCATGTTTTCTAGAATCAATGCCTTTGCCATTTTATTAGTTTTGCTGCTTTATTTGTTAATTGTCCTTTTATAGTGTATATAGATAGATGTTATTTGTGATATGGTAATGCTTAGTGTCATGTTTTTTCATATGTTCTAGTTCAATAGGTTTGCCTCCCTGTGTCTCTTGATAATGTCTTCAATCGCTCATCCTAATTCTATCAGGTCAGCACACCGCTGTGTGGGTCAGCCTCTCCAAGGGTTATCTGGTCTAGGAGACAGATTAGCAAATGAACTGCTCTCTCCGGCCATATTCAATCAGACCCTATAAATACACCTCGCCTTCTGCTGACTCATTCCCTTATTTGCCTTCTGGAGTGCGTGAACAGGGGTGGTTGTTCTGTTAAAATTCTTCCTATATATGTTGTCTTTTGCACAATTTCTTCAGAAATCTGTTGTAAAATGACACGATCATAGATTTGGTCTGTAGCGTGACGTAATAAAGGAGAAGATGAGATTTTGAAATTTTGAGCGGCTCCTCACCTGCTCTCTTACATGTGCAGGGAAAGCTGAGTCAGCAGAGAGCTCGAACAAGTATGAGGTAGCGTGAAGTTGAATGATACACTAATCACTTAGCTCCTTTTTTGTTTCCCTCCCTCCTCTTCCACAGTTAGCTTGGTGTTTACAGACTGACATTAATTCAATGCAGGTCACTTTAGCCTTGAAGCTAGCATCATATTAGCCTATGTTAAACTCAGCATACAAAAACCATCAAGCATCAAACCAGGGCTCCATGGCATAGACCCTGTTGATGGCTGCAAGAGTTGGTACACTCAACTCAAGCTTTGTTTCTAACGCGCCTTACAGGCACAGGGGTGACACTACAGACCTGGACAGACATGTTTTAGTAAGAACAGGACAAGGATCGAAACAAGAATACAAACAAATACTAAAAACGAAAAAGAAATAAAACAACATACAAGTTGCACTAATAAAAGAAAATAAAAGAAGACTAACGGCCACAGGTAAAAGCCAGATCAATAAAAAAGTCTTTAGCCTGACCTTAAAAACTGTCACAGATGGTGAAGCACACACGTTTAAAAGGTAACCTCATTTCAGAGTATTACGGGCCTGTGCTCCTTTTGACTTAGAGATGATGTCCTAAGAACCTGTGAGTAGGAGACTATTGTCTGAGCGGAGTGCCCATGCTGGTGTCGTATGGATGAATCGTGTCTGCTAAATATGCAGGGAGCAGTCCCAACGTTCAACCAAGTTTAAAAACCCCAATGAAAGCGACTTTAAACGAATCTCGGATCATTCAACAGACCAGCCAGTGCTCAAGGATTCGCAAGACCGGGGAGCACCATGGTCAGATTTCCTTTTCACCACCAAAAGATTTTGCAGCCGCATTTTGCACTATTGCAGCCTTGCCAAGTTGCCCTGTCACTCCAAATAGGATGGTATTGCAATAGTCAATCCGTGTTGTAATAAAAGCATTGCCTAATATTTCAAGTGGTGTCTTGTCAGGAATGGTTTAATTTTAGCTAAATGGTGCAGATGATAAAAACAGGTGGACACAATTCCATTTGCATGGGCATCAAAGCCCAAGGCACTGTCAAGTTTAATGCCAAGGTTTGTGACAGCTGTCTTTACCTTTGAATTAAATGGGCCCACAGTCAAGCAAGGTGGGATCAATGCGGCCATTAGGTCCAAATAGGACTGCCTCTGTCTTGTCCTCATTCAGGCACAAAGAATTTGCCAACCACCTCTTCTCACCACGATGAACCTATGCCATGTCATATTGTACAATGTCCAGTTTTCTATTATAGGCAGCTTATTGGCATTTGGTTGGTCCAGTCTCAGACCTTTGGTGGTACATTACCTAGATAGATAGTGTTGGGCATGTTGACAAATGCATTAGCATTTTCAGCATCAGACAACCCAGTGGATTATCTAGCTTATTGGGCTTGTCTAACACTACAGTGGTCTTCCTCCCTCTACTGGCATCGCTGGGACGTCTCACTAGACTACTCCCCTCTGGAGCCCACCTTTGGCAATTCAACCTCTCTTATTAGGCTCTTTTTATTTGTGACCAAGTTTGACTGGAACCTTAATAATAGGAAAAACGTCAATTTTTTAACTATAACTGTATGGAATTTCTGCATCTGAATAATAAATAATTCAAGAATTGGTGTGTGAACTCAAACATCCCAGTTATTATAAATGCACTATTTACACTAGTGGTGTGCATCTCTACCTGCCTCACGATTTGATTTGAGTCTGAAATGCATCACAATTCTTCACACAAAATTGTTCATTAGTTAATAAAAGCAGTAGAATAGTTTTCAATTTCTTTTTGATTTCGAAATCCCTGAAAAACAGAACATTCATCTATTCACTATAGTGAGCAATTAATATTTAAAGTGTGCTGCCTATAATTACTTAAATAATATAAGAAATAATGTTTTCAGTAGAGCAGCTTTAGATAGAATATTACTGAACTTAAAAATAGTAAACAAATACTGTGTTAAGTGATTCTTTCACATCCAGGATCCCAAAACCAAAATTAGCCCAGACATCCGATTTAAATGTAACGGGTACATCTTTGATTACTGGTGATGTTGGCCCTGTATCCCTGTCCGCCTTTTCTGTTTTAAATTGGCGCTAGGGGCAGGGGTGTCATACTCATTTTAGCTCAGGGGCCACATAAGAGGGAAATCTAGTCCCAAGTGGGCCGGGACCGGTAAATAAAAAAACTTCAGATATGTTTTCTTTGTTTTAATACAATCAATATAAAACAAGGCTGGTGCCTGAGGACAGTGTAGTACAAGTACCAACACCTGAAGTGTACTTGATAATTTGAAAAAAAAAATAAAAAAATCAATAAATAAAACATTCCTTAGTGATTCAAAGAGCTTACAGGTCACATGGCAGTTTCATGCAGCACTTAAAGTATATTTGACTCATTTTACTTTACATCTTTTAGCTTTCACCGGCACATCAACATCAGAAGTCACATCCTGAGTGGCGGCTAACTTCAGGATGGGATTCAAGTTCTTGTTGTGAGCCTTGAGTGCAGCTTTGTTTTATTTATACTCATTACAGAGAAAACTTGCTCACAAAGATACGTTTATTTTCACTCTACATTGTAAAGTATGAAAATAAAGTTTACACAACCATCTCACGGGCTGGATTTAACCCGCTTGCGGGCCGGATGTTTGACACCCCTGCTCTAGGGCAACGCAGTGCGCATGTCATTGCAACTCTGCCCCCAGAAGTAGTTGTAAAACCTCAAAACTTTATTGTCCTGCATAGACATAGCCCAGGGGTCGGCAACCTGTTCCCATCAAAGAGCCATTATTACCCGTTTCCCACAGTAAAGAAAACACTGGGAGCCACAGCAGCCGCGGCGTTGTGGGCGGGGCCTACCCTCAGACAGCAGAGCGCTGCCCACAACAGGTGACAGCAGCCAGTACCGGTCGCTCGTGTACGTCAAAGCTGTCTTTCATAAGAAGATAATCAATAAAACGATTTATATAAAGTGGATCCAGAAGTTGTAGCCCGTCTCTGCTACAATATTTAGATATTTTTCACCCTGTTGGTGGTTTTACTGAGCAGGTGCCACTTTTGTCATACGTTTCTTTTTAAAACATGTTTAGACTGTTCAGAATACAAATCCAGGCTCTGTCACGTTTGATTGTTGTAATTAAACTTTGTAGGTGGGGAAGGTCAGAAAAGGATCCGATCATTTTGTTTTTCCCTCATTTATAGTGACGGAGATAACGGCGCAGTGCGCCTGGCTCTGGTGTTAATCAAGTTTAATTTTATCTCTTTGCAACAATTTTCACAAGAAAACAAAACAGTTAAAAGCAGGCTTGTGTTGACCGGACAGTTCCCGTATTTGACCGTTTATTTTGACGGAGAAAGAATAGAAAGAATTACCCCGACGCATGCAGACGAACTGACATTTTATTCTACGCACATCGCAGATGTAGCTAAATCACCCAAGAAAAGATTCCCATCTGAACATCTGAGCTGGACACTGCTCAGCGCAGCTCGCTGTCAGCGTGTACTACATAAGGTCCACAGCGAGCTGAAGATGTGGAGAGGGGCTTGGAGCGCGTCGCAGAACCAGAGCACATGCAGGAAGATTCCTCCGACTGAAGAGAGACTTGTCACTTAGAAAATGTTCCCTGATGATGAAACTTTGGCTGAATAGCGCTTGTTCCTGTCTCCAATGTGGCGACACATCCAGGAGCTGTCTGAGGAGAATCCCAGAATCTCACATCCTCTTCAGCTCAGGAAGCGCCTATGATTACGCACAAGCGTGACGCGTCTACCCGGTCTCACAGTAAGATCGGGTTGGACCTGTTCAGGTTTACGCAGACAATCTTTACATTTAGAATTGGCATACAGATGTAAAATTAATGCAGTAAAATATAAAGCATTTTATTTAAATATCCATTCATTATTTTACAAGCACAGAGAGCCGCATCAGATGGATGGAAGAGCCACATGCGGCTCCAGAGCCGCGGTTGCCGACCCCCGACATAGACATAGGGAGAGAATCTCATTATGTCACGTTGCTGCATCGATGCGGAATCATGCACGGCTGAAACGCGATGCATCTTAGAATCGATCATTTTTCCCACCTCTAATTTACACAGTGCCTGGTCATTTCATTTCCAGAACCAGCTTCACCATAATAGTTTGTTTGGTTCTTCTCTACTTTTGCCGTCAGTATCCCTGCAGAGTTCTAAAAAGAAAGTAAATATTTCTTGTTTTAAGCTATGTAGCTCATTGTTGTTTCCCAAGTCACCCTAAATAACGTCAATAAAACAACATTTTACAGTGCAAACTACATCCATTAATATGACAAAGTAAGGACACATTTAAGTTTTTTCATCTTAATTTTACAAGTGCAGTAGACTTTTTCAAATGCATCTGGCTTCAAGATAATGTTGGCATACTGGTTGAGCTTTTTTTGTGTATTTATTCACAGATACTGATTTTTGTTCTAACAAAGGGGTTTTTGATTTCACGTTAGTCCTGTTCAGTTTACTGGATGATGAACTTATTTCATTGGGGATGAAGGGCCTGTTGGTTCATAAGTTTTTAACATACTTCTATGACTTACCTTAATCAATAGGGCAGAAAAAACAAATCGATAAAAATCGATGAAGAAATGCGTTGGCAATGCATTTAGTCATCGATTTGTTGTTGTGCAACTTTTTTTCATGTTTTGCAACCTTTACGTAACAGTCAGTGTGCGCAGCTCACCTGTATGCTGCAGCAGAGCAGACGGAGGCAGATCAGAACGAGAGAGACATCTGTCGCACGTGCGTACATCTATTTTTAGATGTAGCATTTCTGTGACATCCTTTCGAAATACTTTTTTCCCCAGAACTTTGAGCAAAGATAAGCTGCCTGTTATTTTGTAAGGAAGATGCTGTTTACTGGCACACAATGTGCTAATCTAGGTGCTGGAAAGTAGACAAACCAGCAAAGACACAAAGGTTAAAACGATCTAAAGTGTAACTATGGGCAGATTAGCTTATGCTAGCCGGTAGCAGGCACACGATTAAGTGGTTTCCAAAAAAACACGACGGTCGTGAAACTAAGAATATATAAACTCTACAAGCGGAAGAAACGTCCCCATCATCTTGTTTATTCTTAGCTGTCTTCAGCGCTGCAGAGCAGTCAGGTTGCTGCTTCGAGTCTGCTCTGCTCAACACTGCTGCAGGATTGTGGCAAGCCACTGTAGCATATAATTCACAAATGCATCTATCTGTGAACATAATTTAAATAGGTAGCCTAAGCCTCCTCCCTTTGCGGTCGGCTCATGGGTCCCCAGAAGAACAAAAAAATGAATGCGAGTTAACGGAGCTAAAAGAGCTATCTTCTAATCCGCATTGCCTTACGTCCTGGATCACACATATGTTGTACTGCAATTTAAATTAAATGTAATGATGGGTGTTTCAACCACATCAGTCATGTATTTTGAGATTTATCAGCTTGTAAAAGTTCATAATTAGCATGAGTACAAACAAGACATTGGCACGTCGCATATGTGACGTCACCACATAATCTCCTCTCCCCTAGCATAGCTGCCACATGGCCAGATTTGTGATGGTTCTTTCCTCCTGAAAGAAGGATTTGAAGTTTGCTGAACTTTCAGCCATTTCCCCGCTGTTATTCTTCGTGTCTGGTTGGATGACGTCACTTTCATGAAGCGCATTTGTAGTCCTGGACTTATTTTCACACAAAATCTAAAAATAGTCCATCCCCCCCCCCCCCCCCCCCCCCCCCCCCCCTTCAAAAATAAGCGCTTTCTTGGTATCAAAATGCATCTTTAACATTCAGGGACATCATATGTGAAATCCATGGAACATAAAAAGCTAAATTAGAAAATTGTGTTTTTAAACCCATTGACTTGCTTTTTTTTTCGTTCTTCCGAGGGCCCATGGTCCGGAAGTAGATGGGCGTGACTTAAGCTCCCTATTGGATTATTGCTAACTCATACATAATAGCTATGTCACCATTACATTTTTAGCAGTAGAAATTAAATGTTATCCGCATTTCCAGTAGCTTACTACAGAAGATGTTCTGATCATAGTTTAATTATGGACATATTTAGGTGATAATATGTTGTTTTGAACTGTTTTCTAATCATGTCGCATTGTTAAAGTAAAAGGATAGAAAAAATGTTTCCTTAAAAGTTTTTTAATTTTCCCGTTTAATCTGATTAATCGATTAATCGAGTCGAGACCCCTCCCAATTCATCGATGATCCAAATAATTGTTTGTTGCAGCCCTAAAACCAACCTTGTGTTGGCAGACAGACAAATAGCCAGCAGATAGCCATGTGCATTAATAGGGCCTAAAAGCATCTGTCTAGATCGTGTTAATTTGCTATACTGTCTCCTAGAACTGCTCGCCCTCAATGAGACCAACCCATGTGGTGATGTGTTGACTTTAAACTTAGAGCAACAGTTACATATTTAACCATTCTCTTTTCTGCTCCTCACTCTCACCTACCCTGCATCTGAAAACCAGTCCAGCTGTCTACACTAGTAATCACTCCTTCTTGCACAGATTCCTTCTGGTTGAACAATTTACCTGCACTGTTGTTTCCCTTGAACTCCGCTTTGTTTTATTTTTCGTTCTTTTGCTGCATCTCCAGTCTTAATTTAATAATTACATCATTTCTGCACTGTCAGCCTTCGACTCCAGAATGAAGGACTGCATCACCCCACAAGCTAGACACACGCTCAAGCTTGTTGTTCTTAATACTCATCAAAGTTGAATCTTTCATGTTTAGTCTTACAAATTTAATATGGAAAGTGTATACTTTTGAGTCATTTAATTCAAGCTCAGTTGTTGCTACAGTTACCTACCTATGTTTTTAGGTATGAAGTTCGTAAGTCCCCTTTGACACTGGATAGTAACTTTGCTACGTTCTTTAAAACCTACACTATCTATTAGAACCAGTGATGGGGACTTCCCATGTAAGGAAGCTTCGCTCACCTGCTCACCGCTTTTGATGAAGCAGTTATGACGACTACTACTACTAAATTACTCCTATAATTTCACAACTTCCAAAAAGGATTTTTTAAATCATTTTTTTCCATGAAATAACTTGCCTCCTGCTTGCTCCAGGAAAGGCCTCAGCCTTAACCCCACGGCAAAAATGTTACAGCCGATAGACGATAGCAGAGTCACCCAACCGCGATCTTTTGATTAGAAGTCCCCACCAACCTCTGTTAGCTTCTGTTGGCTCAGTTAGCTTGTAGCTACATTGGCTTAGAGTTTATTTCATGCTATATACAGTCATCGGGCATACACACAATTTGAATAGATCTGTTTTTTTACCTGTTGCTTTAAAGCCCTGAATGCCCTGGCATGCTTGCTTGGGTGGTTAGCCATGCCGTGCAGGAGGAAATGTCGGTAATCAGCTAGTCAGGATGCTAATGAATGGGTTCTCTTTATTGAACCGTGACTGGATCACCCGTCATTCATTTTCTACAGTAGGCAGGAAAATAAAAATGTTTCAATCCTTGCCTCCAAAAGACAAATGAAACACAGCATGATCATTTATTGATATACACCACTCTGAGAGTGGATCGTTGGTCGCAGCTGCATGTGAGAACATTTCAATGACTTACATGGAGTTGTGCCAACATGAGCGTGATGGCGTCATAGCCTAGACGTGATGCCAATCTTGCTTTTAACTCTTGATGACACAGCCACACTAGAATGTGCACACCTGCGATCACGGATAGGCCTCCAGCAAGCTCCCCCACATTCCCCCACTGATCCAGTTATGCTGCCGCTAAGAAAATCACCATGAAAACGTCCTACTCTGTCACACAACTTAGCTGATTCACTGTGGTATGAACATCCGTGTGAGGGCTTCACCAAGACCATGCAAAGACTGTACTTCTTATGGTGATTGGTTTGGTGTGTAGGGGGTATTATACTCTGTCTAGGTGCTCGAGTTGCTTGAATGGCCACTTAGCCTAACACTCATCTGATTAAATCAAATGTCATTATGGTGTACTCAGTATTTGTGCATGCATTACTTAGATTACCTCAACACTTGACTGATTGGAACATCAGCAGCTCTGATCTCTAGCGTATCTGTCTTCCTGCAACAACACACACAGTCACTGTCTGTCCCTGCACATGTCCTCCCTGTTCCTGCTCCAGCTTTGCACGTACAGGAAAGGGCTCCTGGCTGGGGAAGGGCTCACCAGAGAGCGTGAGCGACCCATCTGCTGTGTCTGTAGACAGCCTCGTGTTTGGGGCCGGCTACTGTAAGCCTGTCATCTCTGAGGTATGTGAAACTTTTGTCATAAAGTCTAAGGCATTTTGTCTCAGCAAATAAAACTGTTGTTCCTTATTTCCCAGGTAATATTTTAAATGCCAGGTGATTACATTAATGTGACATGCTTGTGCTTTGAATATGCACATGTATCAGAATTCTGAAGCAAAAACACTCTCGACCCGGTTTGTTTCCTGCCTCGTCAAATCTCAGAGACTTGCTGAGTCATTATTATGATAAATGACACATGAACTGCACTTGCATAGCACTTTTGAGAGTCAGAGGACTCCAAAGCGCTTTCCACAAAAGTGTATCATTCATCCATTCACACACACACACATTCACACACTGATGGCTGCCCTGGGACACACTGACAGAGGTGAGCACAGGTGCCACAGTCCCTCCGACCACCACCAGCACGCGGGGAAGTTAAGTGTCTTGCCCAAAGACACAACAGCAACGTTCTCTGTCAGGAGCTGGGATCAACCCACAACCTTCCAGTTACTGGACAACTCCACAGACACCACTGTGCAGTACTATACAGTAAAGTTAAAGATCAAGTTCACTCACGTTTTCTATGCGTTTGCAGTGGTCTCTAATATAAATTAATGATCTCTGTGGGGAAAAAAAGCTCTGGTGCTCCTGTTTCAGGAAGTAAGAGTTAGACAGAGCAGAGGGGTTTGGAAATGGCAGGTTCTGGAGTTTTATTTCCTGATATTTGGGCATCTCGCCTCTGATTGGCTAACAGCAACACAGCTCTACCAGCGACCCTTTTTGCTTTACAACTTTGATGATTTATCTCAACAAGTAACACACGCTTGAAGGTCGTCTGCCATTTTGTGGTGTTGCTAAGGCTAACAATTAGCTTCTGCTAGCCCAGATGCACTCTGCTCTCTCCTGGACGCTGAATTAAAAACAGCCTCCTCCGTTGGGTGAGTCCATGAATGCTGATCTATAGTGTGACGTCGGACTGATTTTTGTAATCCGAGCGTTTCCTGTTCTAGTTACACACACACACACACACACACACACACCACACACACACACACACACACACACACACACACACACACACACACACACACACAAAGGTAAAGATTACTTTCAGCTGTAGCCTGCGTGTTGAACTCGGATGACAGTTCAGATAAACAAGTAAAAACTGTTTTCTCAGTGAACTTGGTCTTTAATGCTATCTAAACAACTCACATGTGCAGGCGTGAACTCTCCAGGCTTAGCATCCGCTACTGATCGGTCCTGATAAGGGATTGGTCTCATACTTGTGTACAGCTCCTGAGATGAAAGTGTGATTATCTCTTTTCTGTTATTATAGTTATTAATACGTGGCCTAATTTGGGAGATCTGAGCTATTTCAACAAAATGATGTGGCTCATGTGCACAGTCACAACGTCCAGCCCAGCAGAAGGCCCTACAGACTAGTTAAACTATGTTTTATTATTATTATTATTATTAAATAAATGTTTCTACATGTGTACGTTCAGGAGGAGTGACTGGGTGTAATGGTTTAATTTAATGTGCATTACAAAGTGACTAAAATAGTGGTTATATCTGATCTTTTTAGTTTATTGCTACTAGTAGTCTGCATTCAGAAAGTCAGGCACTACACAGCAGGCTCTGTGCTGCATGCACAGTTTAATTCTGTCAAACATTTTTATGCATCGTTATAAAACTACAGGCTCCATTTTATCCCACTTTTGAACACACATCTCCTAGGTCTCCTTGGACGTCACAGTCGGCACCATAAATCCTAATGAGCTCCACAACCCCCACCCCACCCCATCACCTCCCGGCTTTTACTCCCACCCCTGGCTGGGCATTTTAATAAGCTCTGCACTTAGCCAGGCAGGGGGGTTGTTTGATCAAAGTAACAAGCTCTGCTGCACACAAGTGCCACGTATCACATAGCTGCAGGTGAAATGTGCATGCAGCGCCTGATGGTCCTTCACCTTAGCACACATAGAGCTGTGACTGCACTGGTTTTAATCACTTTCCTTGTTATTTCTGGGGAAAGCAAGTGCCTTATCATTTTTGAATGCATTAAAAACACAAAAATCTTACTTTTAGTGCAATTAAAACACAAATTCTCCTATAAAACAAATACAAATTAGTCGGGTACAAATGTTTAGGCACAAACTTATGGTAGTGAATGGATGCCAAGCAGATCTGCAGAGCAGTGCAAGCATTATCAGCTAAGAGTAAAAACGACATAATTCAGATAGCTGATCATTTTCTCTGAGTCCTACTGCAGGCTGATCCCAGCAGGCCTCCGTAAAGCTAAAGGGAATTATGAAAGTAACCGTACAGATGTTCCTTCCTGACGTCAGGGTCAGAATTACAGAGCACATGTGCGTGATGATAGGGCCAGGGACTTTGCTGCTTCGGGCAAATTACAGTACAAACTGGTTCACGCGCTTGTCAGGGCCGTGAGCCCCGGTGCTGGTGTCAGAACATCCCAACCGTCAGAAAAAGCACGTGTGGTCAGGAACCAGTGGAATGGAACTGCTTAGCTCATATTTTTATGACGATTGTTTTATCGGCAGACGTCATCTTAACGATGAACGAAAACAACTATCAGTGCTTTAGTGATCTGGAGTCATCAGACTCTCAAGTGGTCATAAATTGTGCTGAGGGTCTTCAAATCCTCGCTGTTAGAGCGCCATCTGCTGGACTCATGGTGGACATTACAGCTCACGTTAAAACACTGCAGCACAACTTTTCAGTTCACATTCTTTATATTAATGTAAACAAATGAGTTGAGCTGCTTTGGCCTTTGTGCGCACTTTTCTTTGTGCACTATTGTTTTGCAGCTCTTAAACAATCATCAGGTTGTTAGAACCCCTCACAGGACCTGTTAAAGCCGATAAAGAGGATTGTCTGTGTGCCGCGCGGCCGTATGGATCTGTTTTTACAGAATTCAGCTGACTGTTTAGGGACTGCTGGTTTTAAAAGGTCCAGAAAATAATTGGTGGGATTTCTGCTCACACAGACGTGAGCCTTTAATGCAGTAGCTGCCGTGGAGGCTGCAGGCTTATGAGGATTTTAATCATTAAGGCAGGATGTTGCACATTTGAGTGGTTAATCCTGAACGTGCAACCGTTGACCTTTTGACCTTTTTTCCCCCTTTTACTTACAGGGAAGTTATGTGCCCAGTGAAGACTGCCTGCAGAGAGCTTACACGTGGCATCGGCGTCTCTGTCGCCTCCTGCTGGTGGCCTACAGGGGCCTGCATGTGTACTGCACCACACTGATGAAGGAAATCCCCCAGCTCCCACAGATCCCACTAGATACAGGTTACGCTTGTTTTTAATGACATTTCTAAGCTCTCATTCTGGAACATTTTCATTACTCACACCCAGCCGAACACATCCAGCATTTTAAAATCCACACACACTAGTCTACAGGTTTGATTTGCAGGACGTATAGAAGGAGAGGTTCATTCACTCATCAGATAACATTAAAATATTAATTTGTAATTGCGTACCAGATAATAGTTCATCTAAACCAAATTATATATGATTATTGACATTTTGAGTGGCTGTGGTTTAGCTTGAAAGAGTGGCTCCCTGCTAATTGGAAGGTTGATGGTTTTACTGCATGTCAGAGTACCCTTGGGCAGGACACGGAAGCCCATGTGGCCCTCTCAGTACGCAAACCAGGGCAAGAATGCATCCATGTTAGTAGTTGAACATTATTTGTAAAGCTTCTTGAGTGACAGATGCATGTGCGCACGCACACACACACACACACGCACGCACGCACGCACGCACGCACGCACGCACACACACACACACACACACACACACACACACGCACGCACGCACGCACGCACACACACACACACACACACACACACACACACGCACGCACGCACGCACACACACACACACACACACACACGTCTGTCTTTCTATCATAGTGAGAACCCTCCATTGACTTCCATTCATTTTTGTGACTCTCCTGTGCCCAACCCATACCCTAACCTTAACCATACCCAATGCTGATGTAGCGTTGTGGTTTATGCTCTTTTATTAAAGAGGAACCATGCTACTTATTAATTCGGAATATTAATTTTTAATAAATCAATAACCAAATTTTATATTGTTAAGAAGACTCAAAGGTTGTTTTCATCGATAAACTGCCGATAATATCTGAGTGTCTGTGTTTCAGTTCAATGAGGAAACCAGTTTGAAGGATTAAAAGTTTTAATTCTTCAAATTAAACTAATGATTTTGAAAATTGACAAACAGGAAATACAATCAACATGGTAACTTTGTGGGACAATCTTTAACAGTTTACATGCTGTTCTTGCTCAAATAGACCTTCTGGTGAATTTATGAAGATTGAGAATATCGTGACATGAATGCGTGTGTGAGTCTGATTTTGCTTCAGGAAGGAACAGGTGTCTGAGTGAAGTGATGGTTTGGATAAACTTGGGTCTTATCAGAGAACTGCATCAAACGCTAAACACCGTGCTGTCTCACCGAACTCTTGTGGACCCTCTTTCGGATCCGGGCCGTGGAGGATGTTGTGGTTCATCCAGATGACACCGGCGGCTGACAGGAGACGTAGGTGTCGAACGGAACCGGTCCAGAGTTGCCCTCGGTACACGTGGATGGTAGAGCGTTTTGTCGACGCGCTTTCTTAAGTTAATTCACTCAGAAATCAAAAGACTCTGTAGGAGTCTGCGTTAGAGGTTGCGATTCAGCTATTCTGTCTGGCTGGCAGAAACAGCGTGAGAGGGGGGAAGAACGAGCCAACAGGCTCTGCCCCCCCTTTGGTTTTCAGGTCTGTTCTCTCCCGTTGTCCAACACGAACTGGAATCATAAGACTGAAACTTACCAAAAACCTTTCTCCTCTCAAAGCAAACGTGTGCGTCATCAAATGTGTCTGGAGTTTACTGTGGGCAGATGTGTGTGGGTGTGTGTGAATGTTTGTGTGTGAAGGTCAGCAACAAACATCCTCAACACTATCTAATCATGGATTCATTAAGCCATTATAATTACCCCAAAGCATAAGAACCATTCATTTGATTAACACATTTATAATGAGCAAAATGATAATGGTTACTTTAACATTAAAATCAAGAAAAAGAAGTTTAAACTTTATGTTTTGACTTGGTCTGGGTACAACTCATGGAAACACATCTTCTGGTAGACTGCAGGTGGCTGATGTTATGGTTTCCTCCCAGACTCGCTGGCGTTCAGGTCTTAATCTGTGGGTGAAAGTTCTCAGCGACCCAGCTTTGACCCAGCTGAGTCCAACACCACCATTGTGACAGAAAACCCATATTTCCTCACGTTACACTGATCTATTCCTAACCCTAACCTTAACTAAAACTTCATTCACACCATGCCTCCAAAACCCACTGGTACGGTTTATTAAAAAAACTGAGGATCACAAAAATGTCCTCACTTTGTTGATAAAAAACTCATGATGGTCCTCAGTAGCCAGTAAGTACAAGAACAAATACACACACACACACACACACACACACACACACACACACACACGTGCTGATTTTTGCCACTTACACACTAGTATTGGCTCCGCTCTACTTCGCCAGCCCCAGCTTGGCCACGTTTGTTCCACACTGCCTTTGGAATGAGGACATGATTGAGCACATGGGTGGTCTGTGATGTCATGAGTGCATCTCCAAGCACATGGGTGGTCTGTGATGTCATGAGTGCATCTCCAAGCACATGGGTGGTCTGTGATGTCATGAGTGCATCTCCAAGCACATGGGTGGTCTGTGATGTCATGAGTGCATCTCCAAGCACATGGGTGGTCTGTGATGTCATGAGTGCATCTCCAAGCACATGGGTGGTCTGTGATGTCATGAGTGCATCTCCAAGCACATGGGTGGTCTGTGATGTCATGAGTGCATCTCCAAGCACATGGGTGGTCTGTGATGTCATGAGTGCATCTCCAAGCACATGGGTGGTCTGTGATGTCATGAGTGCATCTCCAAGCACATGGGTGGTCTGTGATGTCGTGAGTGCATCTCCAAGCACATGGGTGGTCTGTGATGTCATGAGTGCATCTCCAAGCACATGGGTGGTCTGTGATGTCGTGAGTGCATCTCCAAGCACATGGGTGGTCTGTGATGTCATGAGTGCATCTCCAAGCACATGGGTGGTCTGTGATGTCATGAGTGCATCTCCAAGCACATGGGTGGTCTGTGATGTCGTGAGTGCATTTCCAAGCACATGGGTGGTCTGTGATGTCATGAGTATATCTCCAAGCACATGGGTGGTCTGTGATGTCATGAGTGCATCTCCAAGCACATGGGTGGTCTGTGATGTCATGAGTGCATCTCCAAGCACATGGGTGGTCTGTGATGTCATGAGTGCATCTCCAAGCACATGGGTGGTCTGTGATGTCATGAGTGCATCTCCAAGCACATGGGTGGTCTGTGATGTCGTGAGTGCATTTCCAAGCACATGGGTGGTCTGTGATGTCATGAGTATATCTCCAAGCACATGGGTGGTCTGTGATGTCATGAGTGCATCTCCAAGCACATGGGTGGTCTGTGATGTCATGAGTGCATCTCCAAGCACATGGGTGGTCTGTGATGTCATGAGTGCATCTCCAAGCACATGGGTGGTCTGTGATGTCATGAGTGCATCTCCAAGCACATGGGTGGTCTGTGATGTCATGAGTGCATCTCCAAGCACATGGGTGGTCTGTGATGTCATGAGTGCATCTCCAAGCACATGGGTGGTCTGTGATGTCATGAGTGCATCTCCAAGCACATGGGTGGTCTGTGATGTCATGAGTGCATCTCCAAGCACATGGGTGGTCTGTGATGTCATGAGTGCATCTCCAAGCACATGGGTGGTCTGTGATGTCATGAGTGCATCTCCAAGCACATGGGTGGTCTGTGATGTCATGAGTGCATCTCCAAGCACATGGGTGGTCTGTGATGTCATGAGTGCATCTCCAAGCACATGGGTGGTCTGTGATGTCATGAGTGCATCTCCAAGCACATGGGTGGTCTGTGATGTCGTGAGTGCATCTCCAAGCACATGGGTGGTCTGTGATGTCATGAGTGCATCTCCAAGCACATGGGTGGTCTGTGATGTCGTGAGTGCATTTCCAAGCACATGGGTGGTCTGTGATGTCATGAGTGCATCTCCAAGCACATGGGTGGTCTGTGATGTCATGAGTGCATCTCCAAGCACATGGGTGGTCTGTGATGTCGTGAGTGCATTTCCAAGCACATGGGTGGTCTGTGATGTCATGAGTATATCTCCAAGCACATGGGTGGTCTGTGATGTCATGAGTGCATCTCCAAGCACATGGGTGGTCTGTGATGTCATGAGTGCATCTCCAAGCACATGGGTGGTCTGTGATGTCATGAGTGCATCTCCAAGCACATGGGTGGTCTGTGATGTCATGAGTGCATCTCCAAGCACATGGGTGGTCTGTGATGTCGTGAGTGCATTTCCAAGCACATGGGTGGTCTGTGATGTCATGAGTATATCTCCAAGCACATGGGTGGTCTGTGATGTCATGAGTGCATCTCCAAGCACATGGGTGGTCTGTGATGTCATGAGTGCATCTCCAAGCACATGGGTGGTCTGTGATGTCATGAGTGCATCTCCAAGCACATGGGTGGTCTGTGATGTCATGAGTGCATCTCCAAGCACATGGGTGGTCTGTGATGTCATGAGTGCATCTCCAAGCACATGGGTGGTCTGTGATGTCATGAGTGCATCTCCAAGCACATGGGTGGTCTGTGATGTCATGAGTGCATCTCCAAGCACATGGGTGGTCTGTGATGTCATGAGTGCATCTCCAAGCACATGGGTGGTCTGTGATGTCATGAGTGCATCTCCAAGCACATGGGTGGTCTGTGATGTCATGAGTGCATCTCCAAGCACATGGGTGGTCTGTGATGTCGTGAGTGCATTTCCAAGCACATGGGTGGTCTGTGATGTCATGAGTATATCTCCAAGCACATGGGTGGTCTGTGATGTCATGAGTGCATCTCCAAGCACATGGGTGGTCTGTGATGTCATGAGTGCATCTCCAAGCACATGGGTGGTCTGTGATGTCATGAGTGCATCTCCAAGCACATGGGTGGTCTGTGATGTCATGAGTGCATCTCCAAGCACATGGGTGGTCTGTGATGTCATGAGTGCATCTCCAAGCACATGGGTGGTCTGTGATGTCATGAGTGCATCTCCAAGCACATGGGTGGTCTGTGATGTCATGAGTGCATCTCCAAGCACATGGGTGGTCTGTGATGTCATGAGTGCATCTCCAAGCACATGGGTGGTCTGTGATGTCATGAGTGCATCTCCAAGCACATGGGTGGTCTGTGATGTCATGAGTGCATCTCCAAGCACATGGGTGGTCTGTGATGTCATGAGTGCATCTCCAAGCACATGGGTGGTCTGTGATGTCATGAGTGCATCTCCAAGCACATGGGTGGGGCAAAAGAGCGCAGAGAAGTCATGGTGTCTACATTATTAAACAAAAGTGGCCTGAGCAGTCTTGCTTTTGGGGAGTCTCTGGCTCTGATTTTACTTCCTGCTTTGCTGTGTCTGGCAGCACTGTGTGTGTGTGTGTGTGTGTGTGTGTGTGTGTGTGTGTGTGTGTGTGTGTGTGTGTGTGTGTGTGTGTGTGTGTGTGTGTGTGTGTGTGTGTGTGTGTGCCTTAAGATTGGCCAGTTAGCAGTTTGTAGTCTGTGGGAGGAAACCATCGTACCTAGAAGAGACCCAGGCATTCAAGCAAGCACTATTTGTATATCCAACCCCAACCTTATACTAGTGTTAGGGTTAGGCTGGACCCATGTTTGACCACAGGATGCCATTCTTCATTCTTACACGTTTAGGAATTAAATGTTGTCTTCCCATTTGATCTTTTTATCATATTTGAAGTTTTCCTTCTTCTTTGGACATTCAGGAGATTTTCATAGTATGATGTTATCACTACCCCTTTGAATGGATTTTATAGTGTGCAGCAGTGAAAGGCTGAAGCTTTCTTTTATATATTTGCTGTTTTTTATTTATTCTTTTGTTTTACGACAGAACAGGACGACCCCGGTACTCAGACTTTGTAAGTCCACAGCAAAAACAGGCAACAGAGAAAAAACAACCCAAAAAAAGTACATTTCTTATATTAATTTGTATTTAAATGGTTGTGTAAGCTTGTATATTAGGGCTCACAAGGACGGACGTGCTTGGACAGTTTTGGGCAGGTAGCTGAGGTTGGTGTTGGCAGTGCATGAGAAAACCATGCAGGGTTTAAAACAACATCTGCAGACTGAGCAGGAACGTACAGCTCCTCCATGAGAACTAAGTGATTGGAATATGGAGAGATGTGGCTCACACTCAAGGCCAACATAAAGAAGGCAGACAAAAGTATTAGCTCTCAATTACTGCTTAAGGGAAAATCAACCAAATCAATACTTTGGAAGGAAAACTGAGTCTTGGTTTGGCTTAAATCAGTGTCGCGGATTAAAATCTTGTTTTAATGTTGAACTTAATCGTGTTTGTTACTCAAATGAATGCTAAACTCTGCATGAAAACATTTTCCACAGAGGCTGTCCATGTTGCTGAAACTCTGAACCAGCTCTCCGTAGAGTTACAGGTACGTGTGAGAGGGATGCGTTCGATAAACGACGTTTATTATCGACTAATTCAGCTGCTGTCTTGTGTGACACATTAATAGGACACCCCTCACACACAGACTAACAGCAGCTGGGTAGCTTAAACAGTGTTTACATTGTAAAATCTCCTATTCCGTAACTCTGAGCTTTTCCATATATATTTTTAATTTTGTTATTTTCATGTTGATATTTTAAAACAGATCAGCTAATCATGTATAGAATTTAAGCTAAAGGTAAAAGAGACCATTTAGAAAATGTGACCTGTGTCTAAAAAACGTATGGGAGTTATTTATTTATTTGTTTGTTTGTTTGTTGCAGACAGTTTTATTTTTAGTATATGTGAACAGAAAATGCACAAACGCCTAAAATTATGGAAGAAATACAGTCTCCACAGAAATTTGACACTTAATTTTGATTCTGTGATTTACGTGTTTGAATTTTTTATTTGTAAATATTTGAAAGAATTTTTGCTTTTGAATTTTTTTTGCTGAACTTCTAATGTGAATATTTGCTGCATCATTTTTTACAGAGAAATTCTGCAATTGAATTTTTACAAATGATTTTTGTGGCGTATATAAAGTAAAAAAAATGTCTAAAAAAGTCATATTCGGGTGAGATTGTATTTCTTCCATAGAAAATTCCCCCCCCCCCCCCCCCCCCCCCCCCCAAAATCAGGCGTGTCCAATCCTGGTCCTCGAGGGCCGGTATCCAGCACGTTTTGGTTTTAACCTGCTTCAACCCACCTGATTTCAATCAGCAGGTGATCAACAGGCTTCTGCAGAGCCTGATGAGCTGCTGCACAGGTGATTCAACCAGCTAATCAAGCGTGTTGAAGCAGAAAAACCACAAAACCTGCTGGTTACCGGCCCTCCAGGCCCACGATTGGACACCCCTGCCCTAAATCATAGCCTTAGGGACTTTGAACGAGCCGTAGCACATTCAGTTTGACATCAAATCGATGTTTCACCTCAGCTGCAGGAGAATCCCGAGAAGGTGGCTGAGCAGATCAGTAGGGACACGAGCCAGCTGTGCTCTCAGCTGGTCTCTCTGTGGAGCCACTTCCTCGACGCCGCTGTGCTCAACCCTTACATCAACTCCTACCTAGCCCAGGAGCACCACACGCTCAGGGTAACCTTTCTATCACTGTGCCTAATGGTCTTCATGTGCTGCGTGTTCTCAGGAGCTAATGTAGCACGCTTCAATAAAGAGAGTTTCATAGCTAACAATGGGTGTTTGGAGTGTGGAAGATGCTCTTGAAGCACCGATATACCTAGTGGTGTGCTTAGGGTTCACACTCATTTGGGAATAACTGTTGTTGTTGAGGATGATGCATTTCTGTTTAGACTTGCAGACCTCGATGCTTTTTCACTTGTGATGTTTTGATTTTGTCTGTTTGTGGAAACCACAGGTTAGGAGGTTCTCAGAGGCATACTTCTTCACCAACCATCCCAAAGAGACCTCTCTGACGTTTCAAGAGGAACTGTAAGTATCTGTTCTCTACAGACTTTCTTCTTTCGTCACCAAGCACAGATTTTGGTATTTATGGTAACATTCTTGTCACTAAGCATCACCAGACATGGGAAGATAGCTGCAGAGGTGCGGAGCTCAGACTACATGACCAAAATGCCTCCTTTACCTGTTGAGTGTCTGGACATCGACGGAGACTGGAACAGCCTGCCCATCATCTTCGAGGACAGATATGTTGAGTTGCCGCCGAGAGGTAATTATAGCCTTCGCTCTCAATGCTGCAGACTTTATGTTGTGTGACATCATCGACATGTGGAATGTCCATGTTTTGTCAGAGACGGTATCACACGTGCCAATACCAAAGACCACGGAGGAGCACAGCAGCTCACACCTCACCGTCTCTCCTGCTGAGGAGGTTCCCGAGAGCAACCAGGACGGTAAATCACCAGCAACCCTCCACGATTCATTGGACAGTGAAGAAAGCTTGGAGCGGCTCACGGATGCCTCGTTCACGGCAGATCAGAGAAAACCCAACATGATGACTGAGGACCTCATTCAGAGTGACCGTGGTGTTAAAGTCTCCCTAACCGAAGCAGATAACCTGAAAGGACCAATGGACAGTCATGATGAAGAGGAGAAGGCTGGTCCTGGCTGGAGGTACAGTGTTAAGCCTTGTGACATGGAACCGTTACGAGTCGAGGAGGGGCCGCCTGTTGGTGGTAAAACAGACGGCATAGCAACAGAGATGGGAAACACCGAGGAGTCTGGCATCGCCATGCCTTTAAATCACTCCATGGATGATGAAAGTGAAGATGCTTTACTTAACAGCCTCATCACATCTCATGTATATCCTGTTTCACATTCAAATCCTGGGGACCTCAGGAAAGAAGTGGCTCATTGTGGAGGCTGTGCGGGCTCTAAGATCATGAAGCGCTCATCCTCTCTTATTTCTGACTCAGGCATTGAGAGCGAGCCCAGCTCAGTAGCATGGCCTGTAGAAACTGCACTGCGTGGAAAGCCTTTGCTGGATTTTTCTAGTGAACGTGAACTCCCAAAGCAAATTGTTCTGGATCACCGTAGCTGTCTGGAAGGTCTACAGATGGAGAGCAACAACAGCCTTCCAAGTGGGGGTATACAAGCCTCACTCACCTCTATCAGCTCCCTGCCCTATGAAGAGGACCAGCAGAAACGTTATCTCAGCAAACTGACCAAGTCTGTCTCTGCACCACAGATTAGTAGCCCAGAAGACCCGGAGGAGGACCACGTGCTGCACTGTCAGGAAACTAGTAGAATAAGCCAAGAACTGTGTGTGCTTTCAGAGCAGATAGAAACATCTAAATTAGATCAAATTCCTGACAGTAGTCTTAAAGATGTTAGGTCTGAAACACTGAACTCTCAGTGGAACCCAACAGAAACATGCAAAATCAATCCAGTGTTAAGTGTGTCTGAAGTGTTGCTTTCCACAGACTCTGTAGGAAGCCCACCTGCAAAAGGAAGTGCTGATTTAGGCAGCCTGGGAAGCAACAGGGGCCGTGAAGAGCACATGAGCAGAATAAGTGTGTCAGTGGGGGACGTGCATCTTATAGAATCTGAAGCATCATTCTGCAGTTGCCAAAATAAATCATGTGTACATAAAAGTGCTACAGAGCTCGGCAGCACTTCTGGAAATGAGTGCCAAAGATTACATCAGAGCAAACTTCAAGACATCAAGGACAAGAAGTGTTTGCTTCCCTCAGAGATATCTCTTAAACAGCTACAGTCCCATGAATTGACCAACAGCACCACCGTCTCATCGAGGCCGAGTGACCTAACAGGGCTGGCCAGCATGGACTTACCATCTGTTACCCTGCGTAGAACGTTAACCAACGAGAAAGTGTCCTCAGACGGCCACACTAGGCCCTCCAAACTTCCAAACTCTGGGCTGGCCTTTGTGAACAAGAAGATGGTGGAAGTGGTGAACATGTCCGTTTCCTGTGCCCCGACTTGTCTACCATTCTCATCAGCCCTGAGAGACTCTCCGTCTGTCGGTGGAATATCTGCTCGCCAGGCTTCTTCACCTGTTACCAATCAGCCCCTGGGCTCCTTTGGAATCATCTCCTCATCTTACCTCACTATGCTAAATGTGGATGATGAGACCAATGAACAGATGCTGAAGTAAGTTTACATTTTTGATAAGCTTGATATCAATAGAGCCGTTTAGAAGTGTTCAAGGCAAATATTGTACCTTCATCTAATAATATTGTACCTTTTTACAGGCCAGCTTGACTGAGAAACGTTTTTTGACTCATTATTTTTGAAAACTGTCCAACACATCATAGCTTCTGATGATGGTGAAATGCTTGGTTCAGAAAAGCCTGACAGATCTACGTCACACTGTCACTTTTTCGTAGACTCACCCATCTTGACTCGTGTTGGGGAAGGCTGATGTTGGTTTAGCTTTCAGAAGACAGCAGAGAACGTCTCAACTATAGAAGCTAACCGTTAGCATTAGCAACTCCACAACATAGCAGAACATGACCCGCTCACTGGCCCAGTGGTGTGAGTGTCCGCCCAGAGACTGGGAGAATTTGGGTTCAATTCCACAGTCGGGTCATACCAGACTTTGAAAAAATGGGACCCAATTCCTCCCTGTTTGACACTCGGCATTAAAGGTTTGGATGACGGGTAAACCACCAAATGGATCCCGCACGTGTCTGCTGCTCACCTAATTTAGCACACCGGTGTGACAACTAGTGGGACTTTAACGGGAGCACAGTACTCCAGTTTTACAATCACTGCATTGGCTCCCCGTATGTTTCAGGATCGATTTCAAAATACTTTTAACGGTTTTTAAGTGTCTTAATGGTCTTGGGCCTTCTTATCTTTCAGAACTGCTTTTACCGTATGATCCCGCGTGGTCTGCGCTCCTCTGGCAGCCGTCTCCTTCCAATCCAATTTTATTTATAAAGCGCATTCACAAGGCATTACAACCAAACAAGGCGCTGTACACTAAACATGTTAGTTAATTAAACCGGCGTTATACAAACATGTCGAACACAGATAAAAGATAAAAAGGGAATACAACAAAATTCCAAAAAGCTAACAGCTAAAAATCAATAAAACACAGGGTGAATAAAAATTAGAAAAACATTTTTAAAAAGAACCTCAATAGTACGGAAGTCGATAATTGTGGAGTCCATTTATAAACAGTGCAGATGTCAGTGAGGTTCATAATTATGTGGTATAAGCTAGGTTGAAGTAGTGAGTTTTCAGGAGTTTTCCTTGTCATCCCTAAAGTCAGGCCTCATATTCATGGCGAGGCGTCCTTCCAGTACTACGGTCCTCGCCGCTGGAACGAGCTGCCAGGGGACCTCAGGGCTGCTGGAACGTTCGTGTTTTTAGAAACAGGCTCAAGACTCATCTTTTTAACTTAGCTTTAACTGAATACTCTCACTTTTTAAATTATTGAATTACTTAGGTTATTTATTTATTTATCTATTTTTTTATTTATTTAATGTATTTTTTCTTTATACGTGCTTTAAAAACAGTTTTTTACCGTAGATTTATGATCAACATTATTTTAATATCTATATAACTTTTCATATTACAATTCTCCCTTTAGCTCTTTTGATTTTATATTTTAACCTTAATTTAACCTTTTTCCAGGGCTTCCTCTGTGGGAGCCCTCTGCCCCGGCGGCAGTGGTCAGCTGTGGCGGCCTGGGTGCTTTCCAGGTGTGCCTAGGTGGAGGTGGGGGTCTCTGCCCTCCCTGCCCTGGGCGCCCTGTGTCAGTGCCTCGGCTGCTGTTGTGGATCTGCTGCTGCCGGGGCGGATGGCTCCCCTGATGGCGTTTCCTTATCCTTATCTTAGCTGGTCTGGCTCATCTGATCTCAGCCAATCGTGTTTTTTACCATGGGGAAGGTATGTGTGTGTGTGTGTGTGTGTGTGTGTGTGTGTGTGTGTGTGTGTGTGTGTGTGCGTGCGTGCGTGCGTGCGTGCGTGCGTGCGTGCGTGCGTGCGTGCGTGCGTGTGTGTGTGTGTGTGTGTGTGGCGGAGGAGGAGTGTTGTGAACGGGTTTTTATTGTCAGACTGTTTTTAAAAATCTGGGGATGGGAGGGAATGCGGGGCCTTTTTAATTTGTTAAGCACTTTGAGTTGCTTGTATTGTAGGATTAAGTGCTATATAAATAAAAGTTGATTGATTGATTGATTGATTGATTGATTGATTGATTGATTGATTGATTGATTGATTGATTGATTGATTGATTGATTGATTGAACTAATTTCTTCAGGCTTGTGTTTGTGGAAATCAAACATTCATGATGCAGAACAGAGTCAGTGTTAGCGTTGCGTTGCTGTTAGCCAATCAGAGGTGAGTTGTCCGAATATCAGGAAATAAGATTAGTCTGAAGTTCTCCATCGGCTGACTTCTACCTCCTCAAACAGAAACATCTGAGCTTTTCCCCAGAGAACAACTTAAAGGCATTCATCCCTACAAATAAATACAAATATGAGTTAAGAAGGATTATGTTTTGCAGTTTTCTAGACCTAAAAACAAGGGTTTGTATGTGCAGTAAAAAATACCTTTCCCAATGTCAACAAATATTTTTTCTTAGGATTTGGCCTTCCTCCAAAGGATTATTTAAAGTATCACATCATAGTTCAAACAACCTGCAGGAAACAAGGTCAGAACGAGTTCTTCTGGGTTTGGGGAGGCGGCGAATGTAATCTGCTGCAGTAGCTGGCAGCGACACATACTTGGAAAGTCTAGCGTAAGAAAATCAAGTGGGGGTGAATTTAAAGCATGGAAGTCAAAATGAGGTGAAATGCCTCCCGAGTCACATCAAAGAGTTCTCAGACGAATCCAGCAGGATTAGATGTGAGTGCAGGACTGCATGCAGATTCATGTTGACTCCTGAACATGACAAGGTAACAGAGTCCCATCTGGTGAGTGGCTGTGTGATTGTGCTTTCCTCACAAATACAAGTACGAGCCATGCTTGCTGGCCTGTCTTTGGTCCAGCGTGAGAAACCCGAGGAATAACGTATTTTGCTGTGTTTTAACTTTTTCTCCAGTTTCTGCAGAGCTAGAGAGGAGCTTGTTAAAGAGCTGAACTTCCAAGCAAACCTGTACAGCGACACTTCTCCACTAGCATCAGATGTGCCCTACTTCCCCTCTGAGGAGGACGACGAGGAGTTTGATGATGGCATACACCTCGTAGTGTGTGTCCATGGACTTGATGGTTAGACTGCATTCAGCCATGAGATCTAACGTTCCCTGTGCACACTGACATGCAGCCCAGTCTTTCCACTGAATGGGTGAGCGGCGTGTTTTACCCGAGAGAGTCCTCCCCGCTGGGAGCATTTCAGACACGAAGCTGCAGCTAAACAGTTCCTCTCAGCTCTTCACTAAATCTACGGGGAATTGCGAGATCACACGTGATTTCGGTAGTTCACACAACAACAATATGATTTATCCAAACGGGTCTGTGCTTTACCTCGACTACGGAGGTTTTACAGGTAATGGCGTACATTTTTACTAGTTAAGCAACTGCAAGTGACTTTTATTTGGAAAGTTTCTGGATGTTTAAAGTGTTGTTCTGTTTGCAGTTCAGATAGAGTCAGACAGCAGTTCAGAGTTTGATGTGGCGTGCAACAAATAAACCTGAAGCATGGAAAAGGGTCCCTAAGCTTCCGGGACACGTCCGAAACGCTTACGCATACGGTGGAAAGACCCGGTGTTAGTGCATGACCCGTACAGACACACACTGACCTCCTTACTTTGTGCATCTTTCTGTTCAATTTGTTTGACATGAACTTAATGAGCAGTGCTCAGAGAGCAAATCTGAGCATCATTTCCTCTCCTGCAGGAAACAGCGCAGACCTCCGTCTTGTGAAGACCTTTGTTGAGCTGGGGCTGCCGGGATCCAGGCTTGACTTCCTCATGTCTGAGAGGAATCAGGTGCGTGTAAGATCAACAGGAACGAGCGTCGTGTCACACGTAAAAGCGCTGAGCTGAGCTGCGTGCCTTGTTGTCACTTCCCACAGGCAGACACATTTTCAGATTTTGACACCATGACAGACCGGCTGCTGGATGAGATCATTCAGCACATCCAGCTGTACAATCTCACCATTGGCAGGATGAGGTCAGTGACTAAGGTTCACCAAAAGCTCACAACAACAAATCCCCGTTAAAGTCATTTTAACCTTCACCAGAGGAAGGCGTGTTGAAGCAGCTCTTATCTTACCCAGCAGAGGGCGCCAGAGACTGTTTTCTCTCTGCATAACTGAGGAGAATCCCTGATTTTATTTGGATGAATGGCTGAAAATGGCTGGAGCACTTATCATATGGTGCCAATAGGCCTCAGACTTCCACATGATGGACGGTGTTCCCTAAAGCAGTGTCTTGCAGCTCACTTCTCATTAAATTAGGCTATTTATCTTCCCACTTAATTGCCCCCCATTGTGCCAATTTGTGTCTTTGTGAGAGTTTCCACCCAAGTTTCCCAACTCCCTTTATTGTGACATGTTCTCTCGAGAGCAAGTATTATAGAGACACGCAATGAAGTGCCACAGCAGCATCTGGTTGTTTCAGCAGTGTCTGTATGTGTAGTTGGGCGGGAGACAGATGAGAGGAAGCTGGCATGGCGATGAGGGATTGTGGGCAGAGCTGCAACAGTACGGTAATGAAACTAAACGGGAGACAGAGCTTGATGAAGTTAACATCCCCCGTCCTTTAGCGTAGCGCTGCAGAGTTGTCAGCAGCTCTAAGAGCCTTTTAAGCAGCGGAGCGTCTACACTGAGCCACTGCACCGTGCTGAAGGTCAGCAGCATTAGAGGAGGGTCTTCTTATGTTCCTGCTGCCCACCGGAGCAGCTGGTTGTTCCTGTCTGACAGGTATTTGTCTGCGGCTTACAGCTTCATCGGCCACTCTCTGGGGAACATCATCATCCGCTCGGTGCTGACGAGGCCTCGCTTCCGCTGCTATTTACCCAGACTGCATACTTTCCTGTCGTTGTCGGGCCCACACCTGGGAACACTGTACAACAACAGTGCATTGGTCAGCACAGGTGAGCCCTCCACTTAGCCCTGGAGAAAACACACTCTGCAGTAAGTGTGTGTTGCTGCTATGCAGTGCCATGTTAGGATGTTGCGTGCTCAGCAGCATCGACTCTTTCTTCTGAGGGCGCGAGCTGAGTGTGCACGTGTCTCCGTGTCGTTCCTCAGGTCTGTGGTTGATGCAAAAACTGAAGAAATCTGGATCCCTGCTTCAGCTCACCTTCAGGGATCACGCTGATCTGCGGAAAACCTTCCTCTATCTCCTGAGTCAGAAACCAGGTAGGCTGTGAAAACGGCCTGAAAGGCTGCGGCTTTGCAGAACTCAACCTGACAGAAATTCTGTTCAGACGTTTGTGAAGAAGTTGTCATCCCGTCTTTTTTGTTTGTCATATTTCTGCGTGTCAACTCACTAACACACAAACTCCTAGCAGTGAGCCCCCCGCTGTGTGAGGGGAACAAAGCAGCCGTTTGTCACATCGGCATGAAGAAGATAAGCACCCCCCCCCCCCCCCTCCCCACTGCCTCCGTTGAAGCTGCAGCAGCTGACAAAATGATCTAAACCCTGTCGCTGGAAACTTAACAGTGAACTTGCTTAAAAGCATGCTGACAGTAAACTAAAGAAGAAGAAAACAAAGAAGCCGCAGCTATTTCATATCAAGCCTGTCGCTGTTTCTGGTGGCTGTACTGCATTTGCTCCTTTTCTCTGCCTTGCCTTCTTTGTCTCTAGTTCTCAGACACAGAGACAAATGCATGGAGCGTTCTCTCACTGCTCTGTTTCCTGTTGTTTTAGGGCTGCAGTTCTTCAAGAACGTGGTGTTGGTTGCCTCTCCACAGGACCGATATGTTCCTTTTCACTCTGCAAGAATAGAAATGTGCAAGACCGCTCTGAAAGACAGAACTACCGGTCAGCATTCATGCATTATTCAAATATGAGTTATCTGCAGTTGTGTTTGGTATTCTATTCTGGTATTTAGGTCTAAAAATCTTAGATTTTTATCCCAGTACCGTTGTATCGTTGGCTAATTTCTAGAAGCAGATTAAAAAAAAATATTCATTCTGTGAAAAAACTCTTTCAATAATCAAAAGTATGAACTTATTTACTATTTAAAAGGATTAAATGAACAGTTCCGTTTTTATTCTCTATTCCTGATGTGTCAGTATTCTATTTCCATCAGACTGAACAGTAGAGTTGACCTGTTCACATCAGTGTGAGTATACTGTCCAGCCACGACCAACAGACAGAGCTCAGTCGTGGGGCAGGATCTACGGTTCAAGCCGTCTCCACATTCGATTGTACAATGAACAATGTGACCTACTCACCCCTACGGATGCCTGCCGGCAGGGCAGTCCTACATGCACTGTCAAAAATACTCAAATACATAATTTTACCAAATAAAGGACTTACATACCTCTATCTGTTCTTTACCCAAACAAACCCCAAGTCTAAATACGGAGTCTAATGTTGATGTCAAAGCCATTTTAGTGGTACCACTCCGTCGATTCATCCTGCCCACAAAGTCGATAGAGCACGTCGACTGGCACAGACTGTTTGGGCCTGCTGAGGTCCCGGTGGAACAAGGGTTGACGGACACGCAGAGCGAAATAATTCGGCTTCCGCTAGTCCGTCTACATTTCTAAGCTACAGGAGTGTTAGAAAACTGAAGAATCAGGGAGGGTTTCCCTCTTAGATAGCACATGTTCGGTGCACGGCATAATCAAGGATACACATTTAGCATCTGTAACACAAAAGCTTAAGTAACAGTAAATGCATTTTTACCACCCTTTCACTGTTGCAGTAGGCCCCTTTCAGATCCAGGTGGGTGCACAGCAGCAGACAACGTAAAAGCACGATCGCTGTAGCTACAGTTGTTAGATCTTTGGTTCGTAATACTTGAAGTTTGGTGAATGTAGGCTCCTCGACAAACTGCAGGTTTACAGCAGCTACACCGATGTCTGCATTGGACTGAGTTATGTGACAGGCTATTGGTTGTACTTGGCTCACAGTGAACAGTAGACCCATACAAACTCCAATGTGGGACTGGACATCCTAAAGTAGCTTGACACTAGTACCGGCATGCTAGACCTTGCCCTGCACTCTGCACAACCTTCAGCTCAGGGTAGCTCATACGTGCACATACATAGCAGCACAAGGGATCTGCAGCTTTTGTGAAAGAGTCCTCAGGCAGTTGTTATGCATTATTGTTTAAGTGAATGCATGTTTATCCATGCACTATTTGTTTATTGGTAGATTCCGGTGATCTGACCATGAATTAGTAGCTTAAAATTAAAATATTATTTCATATATTAATTAAATGGTGTTTATGAAAGTGGTCCAAACAGACTTCATTAAGAATATTGTCACAAAGAAGTGTGCTGTGATAAAATGTGAAAATGTTTCTAATGAAATTTGCACAAACTGGTGGGAGAAAAGTTGATTATTGTTATACCCGTGTTAATTCTACTGTTAAAGCCCATTAAAAACCCAGTTTACCCAGTACACAGACTAGATGAACAATGTTAAAACAATCTTTGGCCAACAGTCCCATCAAATTGATGATCATATTGTACATAATTCCCACCACAAAAGAACCAAATTCTGTATTAAAGTTATATTGCACGCTGGGGGATGGTAACACAGTAGAGGGGCAGAACAGTTTATCTCCATCATCTGCTGCTCGGAGAAGAAGAGTCAACAGTTAAGGCTAAATTTAAAACAGAGTATATTTCACGTTGTTTGCCAGTAGTTCAAGGCAGGTTCAAGTGAGCACTGTGTAGAAAAAGAAGCATTAGATAATGGAGCTCAGTGACCAATTTGAAGCCAAGTTTTTGATAAAAACATAAAATCCTGATCTTAGCAAACAAAAAAGTCACACAGGATTAAAATCTTGTTGACGTGTGGAAAGTAAGGTCCTTCTTGTCTGAAGCAGGTGCATGGGCCAGATTCTCCATGTCCAAGCCACTTCCATGAACCCTTCCCTGCTGTGGGTATAAAGACTCCTACTCTAGGCCCAATAACTGTGAAACCAGAATGTTTTTCAATCATAAAGCAACATCCCTCTAAAGACTAAACTAATTTATTTCAGAAATGATCATTTTTGGGTCAGCATGCTTTCAGATATCCCTTGATCCTCACCAAGACATTTACATGATCTCCCCGTTTCCTTGAATGTCACCTAATTTGAAAGTTGAGCAGTTCAGCAACTCTGGTGTGCCCGGAGGGATGTTTTGGTGAAGAAAGTCAGTCAGATGTTTAATAAATTGGATGTTAAAAACGACAAAAAACAAGCTCACTGCAAGTAGAGCACCCATGACCGATGGGTGGCACCCATGACAGATGGGTGGCACCCATGACCGATGGGTGGCACCCATGACCGATGGGTGGCACCTATGACAGATGGGCGGCACCTATGACCGATGGGTGGCACCCATGACAGATGGGCGGCACCCATCACAGATGGGTGGCACCCATGACAGATGGGTGGCACCCATGACCGATGGGTGGCACCCATGACCGATGGGTGGCACCCATGACCGATGGGTGGCACCCATGACAGATGGGTGGCACCCATGACCGATGGGTGGCACCCATGACAGATGGGTGGCACCCATGACAGATGGGCGGCACCTATGACCGATGGGTGGCACCCATGACAGATGGGCGGCACCCATGACAGATGGGTGGCACCCATGACAGATGGGCGGCACCTATGACAGATGGGTGGCACCCATGACAGATGGGTGGCACCTATGACAGATGGGTGGCACCCATGACAGATGGGCGGCACCTATGACAGATGGGTGGCACCCATGACAGATGGGCGGCACCCATGACAGATGGGTGGCACCTATGACAGATGGGTGGCACCCATGACCGATGGGTGGCACCCATGACAGATGGGTGGCACCTATGACAGATGGGTGGCACCCATGACAGATGGGTGGCACCCATGACCGATGGGTGGCACCCATGACAGATGGGTGGCACCCATGACCGATGGGTGGCACCCATGACCGATGGGTGGCACCCATGACCGATGCTATCTTGGGAGGCAAAGATTTGCTCTTTTTAAAGAGCCCTGTTTTGGATCCTGCTAGAAGGACTTTCCCTTGAGACTCTTCACTGACTTTTCCTAACAGGTCATGCTGACTAGAGTAGACGTTAGATTACGTAAAGAAAAATCACACAACCCCACTAATGAATGATGTGGCAAGGAAAATATAAATATTAGTGAAGTAATTCTAAATGTACAAAGATAATTTTGTATGAAAATATAGTATATTTAAGATACAATAATTATGAAATTTTAAATAAAATAATCCAAACAGTTTAATGCCTCAATCATAATGGAAGAAAGGTTCCTTTGAAACAGATTTCGTTCTCCTCTGACTGGGGAGTTGGATGTAGTTACTGTTTAAAATCTGTGAGCCAGTGTGGTTGCTAGGTCTGCCTCGAGCAAATGTTGCAGCGCAGGCCTTTGTAATTCGACACCGGCAGACAAATAGCTCCAGAGATGTTTAAACAACCAAAGCCAGTAAACAGGGGCGACCCAGAAGTTATTTCTTGGAATCCTAAGAAGCCACAGCATTTTTAGTTTGATTCTAATATTGGGTAAAGAAGGCTAAAGGCTCTAAGAATATCTCAAGCTAATCTTTCCGTAATTGGCAACAGCCCTGAGACTCACGAAACAGGAGTAAGAGAGTCGCTGGTCAGTTTTGAAAATGGGCTGCAGTAACCCAACTTGACCACAGGGTGTCGCTCTTATATCCGTTTTACATCCTGCACGAATTAAACTAAAGTTTCTACATTCCTAATAAGTTGGGCTGCATGGTGGTGCAGTGGTTAGCACTGTTGCCTCGCAGCACAAAGGTTGCAGGTTCGAAACTCGGCTTTCTGCGTGGAGTTGCGTGTTCTCCCCATGCATGCGTGGGTGTCCTCCGGGTACTCCGGTTTCCCCCACAGATCACAACACGCCCTATAGGTTATAAATTGTAAGTCGCTTTGGATAAAAGCGTCTGCTGAATAAATAAACATAAACATAAGTTTAATGACAACTTAGAAAGCCAGTTATATTCAGAAACTTGAATGCATCAGTGCTCAGTTATTCAATAAAACAAATGTGTTATCTTTAGCTGTACTCGTTGTACTTGTGCTTACTTTGCCCTGCAGGGCCTGTGTACGCAGAAATGATCAACAACCTTCTGCTGCCTGTTGTGGAGACTACAGAGTGCCAGCTGATCCGCCACAACGTGTTCCATGCTCTGCCCAGCACAGCCAACACGCTGATCGGCCGGGCTGCCCACATCGCAGTCTTGGACTCTGAGCTCTTTTTGGAAAAGTTCTTCTTGGTGGCAGGGCTCAGCTACTTCAGATAAAGGTGTCTGGGTCAACGGAAGACGCATACCTGCTACCGTGTACATTTTGTGTGATGTGTATTGTGGATTTCCTATAGATCCGATCTACGTCCGAATTACTATCACAGATAGCAGCTGTCGTTAAAGTATTAATACGCAGCAACTATTTCTAATGAAAACTCAAACCCTGATGCAAGTTCACACAAGACAAAGCATCTGTTGATGACAGGATTGATTGTAAATATTTTGGCTGCCTTTTGTATAAGTTCTCAGCTAATAACACACTAAAATGCTAATTATGGTCCAAAGCATTGATTTACTCGCCCTTTAGAGATGGTGCAGATGTGCAGCATTTATCCTTTTGATTGTACCTTACGTATTTAGCTGTATGAAAAGAAAAACACTTCTACTTTATACAAAACATATATATTGTTTGAAAATACTTATTTTTATGTATCAGTCGAGAAGTAGAGTAGTAAAACCTAAAATAATATAAATGTAAACACATTCAGTCCACGTACGGGTGAGTGTGTGTCGTCTGTCAGATCGATTCAACTAAAGCGTGTTACCTACGCGAGTAAAAATGTAAATCTATGTAATGTAAAATAACCTTTTTCATATATTTATTTTTTCAAATCAGACAGTTAGTGTTCCCGTTGTGTTATGCAACACATTTGAGCCGATGGTGTAACATCATTCTGAATTTGAGTTTTTTTAGTTATTGTTGTTAAACCATCTATAATCCCGTAAACCTGCTTCATACTTCTCTGTCCGTAACTTTCTGCCCACACGCATGTGCACACTTTGACATGTTGTATTTACACCTATCTGTTGGTGTATTAGTGTTGTAAAGCAACTCTCCACCAGGACAGCAGTGGGCGCAGCACTTTTCTGGGGTGTCCTGCCACCATTGCAGTCACACTGAGTTTACTGATAGGGAGCCTAAGTCTCCTCCCTTTCCGGTCGGCTCATGGCTCCCCGGAAGAACAAAAAAAAAATGAATGCAAGTCAACGACACTAAAAGAGCTATTTTCTACTCCTCCTCGCCTAAGGCCCTGGATCGCACGTACGCTGTACTTCAATTTAAATGAAAAGTAATGATGTGTGTTTCGACCACACCAGTCACGTACTTTGAGATTTATCAGCTTGTAAATGTTTGTAATTAGCATGACTACATATCTGACGTCACCACATTACGTAATGCTCTCTCCCCGGCGTAGCTACTTACCACGTGGCCAGATCTATGGTGGTTTCCTCCAGAGGGAGGGATTTGAAGTTTGCTAAACTTGCAGCCATTTTCTTCTGCTTTGTTTCACGTCTGGATCAGGTACGTCATTCTGGTGATGCACATTTGTAGTCCTGGACATATTTTCACACCAAACCTTAACTAACATTCCCCCCCATTGGAAAATAAGCGTGTTGTAGGCATCAAAATGCATCAGTCACAATCATCATATGTGAAATCAGCAACACATAACAAACGGGACTAGAGTGATTTTAGCTCCACTGACTTGAGTTCATTTTTCCGTTCTTCCTGGGACCCATGGTCCAGAAGTAGATGAGCGTGAAACAGACTCCCCGTTATTGTGTGTTTATGTATTTCAGAGACTTTTTAACACAAACAAAGTTGTCCCTCATTCTCCTCACCTCTTCATGCAGCCACCAACTCCAAACCCCCGTTTCCCGTAAAAAAAACTTACGGACAAATATAAAGTCTGCTGCGTATCTTAGAAACCCATCACTCACGGTTGTATTAAGGTTCATATTGTTATTGTAGGTCTTTTTCCATGAGACATTCTTAGATCTTCTCCGTCTGCTGCTGGAGTCTTCGGCTCTCGTCTTATATTTTTTGAGGTGGAATAGCCGTGTTGTTGACAAAGTTAAAGGAGGCAACATCTTGACCAACCACTTCTCTGTCAGTGTCGATGGATCATTAGAACATTACGACTCCATCCATCCGTGCGTGCCTGTTGGAGAGCCCACGGGTTGCGTTTCTCCACACCTGTACAGACAGAGAAGTCCACACCTGTGCAGACAGAGAAGTACACACCTGTGCAGACAGAGAAGTCCACACCTGTGCAGACAGAGAAGTCCACACCTGTACAGACAGAGAAGTCCACACCTGTACAGACAGAGAAGTCCACACCTGTGCAGACAGAGAAGTACACACCTGTGCAGACAGAGAAGTCCACACCTGTGCAGACAGAGAAGTCCACACCTGTACAGACAGAGAAGTCCACACCTGTGCAGACAGAGAAGTCCACACCTGTGCAGACAGAGAAGTCCACACCTGTACAGACAGAGAAGTCCACACCTGTGCAGACAGAGAAGTCCACACCTGTACAGACAGAGAAGTACACACCTGTGCAGACAGAGAAGTCCACACCTGTGCAGACAGAGAAGTCCACACCTGTGCAGACAGAGAAGTCCACACCTGTGCAGACAGAGAAGTCCACACCTGTGCAGACAGAGAAGTACACACCTCTGCAGACAGAGAAGTCCACACCTGTGCAGACAGAGAAGTACACACCTGTGCAGACAGATAAGTACACACCTGTACAGACAGAGAAGTCCACACCTGTGCAGACAGAGAAGTCCACACCTGTGCAGACAGAGAAGTACACACCTCTGCAGACAGAGAAGTCCACACCTGTGCAGACAGAGAAGTACACACCTGTGCAGACAGATAAGTACACACCTGTACAGACAGAGAAGTCCACACCTGTGCAGACAGAGAAGTCCACACCTGTGCAGACAGAGAAGTCCACACCTGTACAGACAGAGAAGTACACACCTGTGCAGACAGAGAAGTCCACACCTGTGCAGACAGAGAAGTCCACACCTGTGCAGACAGAGAAGTCCACACCTGTGCAGACAGAGAAGTCCACACCTGTGCAGACAGAGAAGTACACACCTCTACAGACAGAGAAGTCCACACCTGTGCAGACAGATAAGTACACACCTGTACAGACAGAGAAGTCCACACCTGTGTAGACAGATAAGTACACACCTGTGCAGACAGAGAAGTCCACACCTGTGCAGACAGAGAAGTCCACACCTGTGCAGACAGAGAAGTCCACACCTGTGCAGACAGAGAAGTACACACCTGTGCAGACAGAGAAGTCCACACCTGTGCAGACAGAGAAGTCCACACCTGTGCAGACAGAGAAGTCCACACTTGTGCAGACAGAGAAGTACACACCTCTACAGACAGAGAAGTCCACACCTGTGCAGACAGAGAAGTCCACACCTGTGCAGACAGAGAAGTCCACACCTGTGCAGACAGAGAAGTCCACACCTGTGCAGACAGAGAAGTCCACACCTGTGCAGACAGAGAAGTACACACCTGTGCAGACAGAGAAGTACACACCTGTGCAGACAGAGAAGTACACACCTGTACAGACAGAGAAGTACACACCTGTACAGACAGAGAAGTACACACTAGGCTTTACTGTTAAAAAGTGAAGATGACTTCCCTCAAGCCTGGGTTTGTTGCCAACGTCTTTTTGATAAAAATTAAGAATAAATATGTAAAGAAATCTTTGATGTAGTTGCATTTCGCCGCAGATGTACCTCACCGATTTTCTGAGAGGATTACATTACGCTTTAGATATTAATAATTTACCAATAATTTTACTCACTATGAGCTTCAAAGCAATGGTTGTGTAGCGTAAAACGAAAGAACAAACACAAGTTTGGCTTAAGAGAAAGCAGTTGAGCTGTTTTTAATCTATTACTAACAAACAAGAACAATTGTGTTTGGTAGATTATTTCTTCATTGTATCAATGCTTGTGTGTGTTTTATACCACTGGGAAGCCTGATATTACTGATTACCATGTTGTACAGCTTGTAAGGATTGTGTTAATCTAAAATGAGCAATGCAGCTTAACTTTCTGAAAAACAAAATCTGTGCCAAAATCTGCGGTAGTACTCTCCTGATGGAGGTCACAGTTTAGGATTTATGGGCGAGAAGCTTTCAGTACACTACCAGAACCAAGCTTTCCTATTTTTACTTTATATCTTGAAATAACCAGCAGGGAAACAACACAGCTTCGCACATTTCTCCCGTTCTGTCTGATTCTGCAAAGTGTTGCTTGCATGAGTCTGATTCAGAAAAAAGGCCCATTCTATATCTTGGCAGCTTTGTTACACTTAGCAATGCTAATCTGGAGTGCCGGTAAGAAAGAATTTGTTCATTTTGATTACTTTAAAAAAATTAAAAGCTAGCACAGATCAGAGCCAGAAGATTTCAACTAGCTAGCAAACTGGCATGTGGAAAAGTGCTGTTCTTGTTAAAGGTGCACTTTGTAAGGCTCCTACTGTGAAATAATCACAAAGCAGTCTAATGTCTCAGTCACACTGTGAGGAAGGTTAGACTGAAACAGATTCTCAACCAGCTGAGCCAGTTTTTCTCCTGTTCACAAAACAAAAGCAGGGCTTCCTTGGGCGGGGTTTGTGGGGGGGGGGGGGGGGGGGGGGGGGTCTGGCGCTGGTACAGGCTGGATGGTGTTTGCACTGCCCCATCCCCCTACCTGTTTTGAATGCACATGTGTCAACACCACATTGGAGCGGGGGGAGACTAGGGGTTTTCTCACACCTTGTTCTCGGTTTGCTGTCCGGGGCTGGAGGCTGGTAGTGGGAGCTGGCCGTCTGGTTATGGTCTGGGCTAGTGGACCGCTTTGCCCTGCAGTGGGCAGGCTTGCCTGTTCGTCGTTACCCCAATAAGAACAGGACCATCTCCTGGGTCCAGGAATGGCTGTGCCCTCTGTGCAGCAGTACCTGGACCAGAGTGTGTATGGGGAGTGTGAGTGGGTGTATGGTGTGCATTCTTGTATGTCTATAGGCTGGGTGTGTTTATGTGTGAGCATGAAGGTGGGAGTGAGTGACTGTCAGGTAGGGACTTGGACACATCCCCTCTTCATCTTGTGGCACTACAACACCTTTAGTCACATTTCCTGTTGGTGGGTGGTGCCTCTGTCTGCCTGTGTGTTTGCAGCTCTCGTGTCTGGGGATGGCTGTTGTGGCATCCACCAGCACGCCCCTGGTGGAGCCTGGGCCCTTCGAGCTGTGTGGGGCCTCCGCCGGGGTCTGGGCACCCCTAAGTCACTGAGGTCTGAGCTCAGTCTGCCCCGGTGCGACTGGCTGCCGGTGGGGCCACGGGGCTCGCCGTAATCATCTCCTGGGCTTCTGGCATGGCCGCTGATGCCCCATCTCTCTGGGGTCTCCACGCTCTGAAGGGACCTCTAGATTTCTGGGGCTTCTCCTCCATCTTCTACGGGTATGGGGGTCAGGTCTGTGCCACCTCACACTTACTATTGGACTCTCCTGTAGAGAAACCTTGCATACACAAGTGTGTGAAATATCAAACTATCGTAATATATGTAGTAAGTGCTCCTTACCCAGGAGTGCCAACACCAGATAAGACAACGTATTTATCTTCTTATCAACGTACTGTGTATGACTAGATGCTTGTCATCTAGAATCTTCTGGTGCTTACTCCTAACTGGCAACAGCCATGAAACTCCCAGAACAGGAGTGAGATAGAAATATTTTTGCTTAAAAATGGACTGCAATAAACTCATTTGATCACAGGATGTCATTCTTACAAACTGCACCTTTAAGGTGTGAAATAACTGAGAACTAGTTCAGTTTCATTAGCCATGCCCTGGCGAAGTAGCTGCCGAAGGAATAAAAAAAAATCCCCCAAACAGAATTTGAAACGCGTGTTTACCCGTCTAAACTTCTGGATCCTAAAATTCTAGCTCATGATGCCGTGACTGTGTGCCAGTCGTGTTTCTGAGGTGTTTGAATGACGTGTGGACTGTTACTGTTTTGCAATGTGGGATGTTTTCATTTTTCATGTGTCTAAGGGCTTTTTCCCTGTAGTCATAGACATCGACGAGGTGAGGAAACAGCCAGAGGGCTTTTTCAACTGTTTTTGGTCCATAGCAGTCTTTAAAATGTGACTCATGACAGCGAGTACAGGTTTAGATCAAAAACGTATTCCTCTTCATTTGAGTCCCGTTGAAACAGCATCTCCTACAGAGGCCATTTACATGTTACGTTAGCTGAAATGAGTCTACGATCAGCATTTTGTTCACGTGCACGTTTTTTCTTCATCTGTTTTTGTATTTCTTTGCTACATTATCTGCTGTTGCACGCAGGGCGTTGTGCAATCTCGCGAGGGCTTTCCCCATCGTCTTGTGTCTCGGTGTGTGATTAGCAAACTGCAAACATCCACCCATCATGTACAGCAGTTGTATATACATATTTAACTGCTGCGTATGTATATACCGGTATACAAAAAAGCTACTATATTTTCACCTTTGCACAGGTTTGCTGGCAAGTGCACTTTATTGACAACCTTGAATCAGCCTCTATTAGCTTTTAAATGTAAACATATCTGTTTGTTTGTTCCATTGTTAAGGTCAAGTCCTTCGTTTATTGTTAGAAGTAAACTAAGCTGTCTGTCAAGCATTCAACCATTGTCTCATTTTCCATGAGTTGTCTTCTAAGAACAAATGATGACACGGCAAAGTGTCCTTTTTGGCATGGAAGCTGTTGTCGTGGCCTTGCATGGTAGGCATTAAGCATCACAGTGATTGACTCAAATCAGATAAGCTTTGTTTGGACACACACACACACACACACACACACACACACACACACACACACACACACACACACACACACGAAACTATTGTCTAAAATCCACGAAGCTAAGCTGCATAAATGGTCTTCAGGAGCCGTCGTGCATCGTCCCTTCCATCCCTGACATGATGCATTGTACGGATGAGGCTTTGGCTTATTGGCTTCTTTGTGTGTTTATAACCAAACGTATTTACACACACTGGAAATCAATGAAGGTAAAAAAAATGGTCTGAGCCGTATCACTTTCTGGATTCTTGAAGGGTAAGAACTGGGATGAAGCAGTTTTAGGAGTTGGGCGGACCAACTCTTAGGGGTTTACAGAATTGTGTTCAGATCGTCCTGACCTGAGTTCATGTGAAGATAGGGTCATTCATGACAGCTAGGTTATTTTAAGGGTGTTAAATGTACAATGACCCTGCTTTGTTAATTAAAGGTGTTGTTCTGTAAGACCAACGAATCCTTTGAAGTGCTGTTGAACTTCACAACTAGCTGACTTGCACCTTCCCTGTA